ATAAAGAAATCATAGAATCATAGAATAGTTAGGGTTGGAAAGGACCTTAAGATCATCTAGTTCCAGCCCCCCTGCCATGGGCAGGGACACTTCACACTAAACCATGCCACCCAAGTCTGTCCTACCTGGTCTTGAACACTGCCACGGATGGAGCATTCACAACTTCGTTGCACAAACCATTCCAGTGTCTCACCACCCTTACAGTAAAGAACTTCTTCCTTATATCCAGTCTAAACTTCCCCTATTTAAGTTTTAACCCGTTACACCTTGTCTTGTCACTACAGTCCCTAATGAAGAGTGCCTCCCAAGCATCCCTATAGGCCCCCTTCAGATACTGGAAGGCTGCTATGAGGTCTCCACACAGCCTTCTCTTCTCCAGACTGAACAGCCCCAACTTTCTCAGCCTGTCTTCATACAGGAGGTGCTCCAGTCCCCCGATCATCCTCGTGGCCCTTCTCCTGACTTGTTCTAACAGTTCAAAGTCCTTTTTATGTTGAGGACACCAGAACTGTACACAGTATTCCAAGTGAGATCTCACGAGAGTAGAGGGGCAGGATCACCTCCTTTGACCTGCTGGTCACGCTCCTTTTGATGCAGCCCAGAATATGGTTGGCTTTCTGGGCTGACAAGAGCGCACTGCCGGCTCATGTTCATTTTCTCATCGACCAACATTCCCAAGTCCTTCTCTGCATGGCTGCTCTGAATCTCTTTTCTGCCCAACCTGTAGCTGTGCCTGGGATTGCTCCGACCCAGGTGTAGGACCTCGTGCTTGGCATGGTTAAACTTCATAAGGTTGGCATCAGCCCACCTCACAAGCGTCTCGTGGTCCCTCTGGATGACACTCCATCCTTCCAGCGTATCAACCAAACCACAGCTTGGTGTCATCGGCAAACTTGCTGAGGGCGCACTCAATCCCACTGTCCATGTCACAAACAAAGATGTTGAACAAGACTGGTCCCAACACTGATCCCTGAGGGACACCACTCGTTACTGGTCTCTAGCCGGACGCTGAGCCATTGGCCACAACACTTTGTGTGTGGCCATCCAGCCAGTTCTTTATCCACCATGTGGTCCACCTGTCAAATTGATGTCTCTCCAATTTAGAGACAAGGATGTCATGTGGGGCAGTGTCGCACGCTTTGCACAAGTCCAGGTAGATGACATCGATGACATCAAATGCTCTACCCCTGTCCATCAGTTCCGTAGCCCCATCATAGAAGGACACCAAATTGGTCAGGCGGGATTTGCCCTTAGGAAGCCATGCTGGCTGTCACCAAGCACCTTGTTGTTTTTCATGTGCCTTAGCATGCCTTCCAGGAAAATGTGCTCCAAGATTTTGCCAGGCACAGAGGTGAGACTGACTGGTCTGTAGTTCCTGGGTAATCCATTTTCTCCTTCTTGAAAATGGGGGCTATATTACCCTTTTTCCAGTTGTTGGGAACTTCCCCTGACTGCCACGATTTTCAAACATGATGGACAGTGGATTAGCAAAATCATTTGCCAGCTCCTTCAGGACCCATGGATGGTTTTCATCAGGTCCCATGGACTTGTGTACATTCAGGTTTTTAAGATGGTCTCAAAACATATCCTCTCCTAAAGTGGGCCCAAGGTCTTCATTCTCACAGTCCCTGTGTCTACCGTCCAAGACTTGGGTGGTGCAGTCAGAGTCTTTGCCAGTGAAGACCAAGGCAAAGAAGTCATTCAGAACCTCAGCCTTCTCCAAATCCTGTGTAGCCAGTTCTCCCGATATCTTCCGGAGGGGGCCTATGTTGTCCCTAGTCTGTTTATTATTCACTATGTACCTATAGAATACCTTCCTGTTATCCTTAACATCCTTAGCCAAGTTTAATTCTACCTGGGCCTTAGCTTTCCTAACTTGGTCCCTAGCTTCCCAGACAACATCCCTGTATTCTTCCCAGGCCGACTGTCTTTGCTTCCACCTTTTATAAGCCTCTTTTTTCAATTGAATTTTCCTCAGGAGCTCCTTATCCATCCAAGGAGGTCTCCTGGCCCTCCTGCTGCACTTCCTTCTAGTTGGCATGCAATGCTCCTGTGACCATGTAGCAAGTGATCCTTGAGTATCAACCAAGAGTCTTGGGCCCCCCTGCCCTCTAGGGCTGTATCCCATGGAACCTTACTAAGCAGGTTCCTGAAGAGGCCAAAGTCTGCTCTCTTGAAGTCCAGGGCAGTGAGCTTGCTGCATGCTCTTCTCACTGTCCAGAGGATCTCAAATTCGACCATCTCATGACCGCTACAGCCAAGGCTGTCCTGGAGCGTCACATTTCCAGCGAGCCCTTCCCTGTTGGTGAGCACAAGGTCAAGCATGGCACCTCTCCTTGTCGGCTCCTCTATTACTTGCAGAAGGAAGTTGTTTTCCACATAATCGAGGAACCTCCTGGATTGCTTGTTCCAGGCCGTACTGTCATTCCAACAGATATCAGGGTCATTGAAGTCCGCCATGAGAGCAGGGGCCTGTGAGCGTGCGGCTGTGCCTATCTGTCCATAGAGTGCTTCATCCACAAATGTCCTGAAGTTGTTGTAATTAGGCTGTTATCAAGGTGGCAGCACATAGATGAAAATATTTTTCTCTGTCTGGTAGGCCAGAGAGATGGAAAGACAAGTACAGGTGTCCTTATAGTCCCTTTGGGAGCTGTGAGGTAGATTATATTCCCAAGTGGGACATTTGTGAAGAAAGAATGTCTAGTGCACTTTGGCTGTCCTTCAGTTATGTGTCAAGCTCTGTTCTTTGTGTTCCTTAGGCTAAAAGGATGATCAGTGCAGAAGCTATTCTGTAGTTATTAGCATGAATATTTAAGTACATTTCTTTTGGCTAGGCTAATATCTCCTGGTATGTGTTTGAGCAACCAATTTTTTCCTTGCATGTACATTTCAAAACTCGTATTTCTTTCCAAAGTGCAAGGCCAGAGCAGAACTGCGAGTCTCACGAGCAGGTACAATACATACCCTGCTGTGTATAACTCTTGGCCCTTCATTCAGTCATCAAATCTGTGTTTTACTTATCTGTATAATAGGAAAATGGTTTGATAATGTATGTTTGTGGATGAAAAATATGTAGAAATGCTGATTTTATTGCAGTATTTGCAGTTATTTCTTAGAATGTGTATTCATATTTGAGTTTGTTCCCTGCTGTGCTGTGGCCTTGGAAATAAACCAGTTATTATGTGATATTTATTTCCTAGATTAAATTACCTTATCCCAAAATTCTTTTAAGATGCTTTCAAGAGTTATACTCACTGCAAGTATAAGCAAATATTTTTCTTTAAATGTTTCTGTATTTTATAGTATGTGTTTTATCCTTTTTTTTTTTTTTTTGAAGTAAAATACTGGGTTTACTGTTTGTTTGGGGTTTTAGGTTGGTTATTTTTTCCTTCCCCTCACCTTTAGTATTCTTTAAAAATGAAGTTTTAAAAGTGGGTTAGGGAAGAGAGGACAACACTGAGCTTTCTATGGTAGTATTAGAAGCAGGGAAGTAGCCTTATTCCACAGTGCAGTTGGAGGGGAAGCAGCATGCAATTACATACATACAATTACAGGCAGCTTGGGATGGATCTGGAAAATGAAGAAGGATTGTCAGGGTACAGAGAATCTCTTTCTGAACCATTGATGCTTTCTCAGGCTGCTCAAGTACTAATTACCGTGGTCTGCAGAAGTTAATCTTAAAACAGTAGATTAAATCCAACTGCTCCTTTTTCTTGTCTACAGTTTTTTTTTCAAGTGCCATAAATTTATCATTTCCTGTACTTTTCAACCCAAGAATGATTTGTTCTGTACCATTCATCTGTAAGCAAATGTGGTAATTCAGAGAGCTTTATTCTGTGTTAAATTCTGTGGGAAAATGTAGGTGGAAGGCAAAGAGTGATCAACAAAGCTAGAATGATAGCTACTGATCTCTCAAACAAAAGTTCCCTGAAGCTGCTGCAGGTGATTTTGGGTTGGTAACTTGCAGGTTACCAGTCAGATAAATAACTTGGGTTTTGCATTTACAGTGAAGAAATGCGGTTTGTTAAATAATAACTTGAAGTACAGTGTAAGATACTGGTGTAGGTGAACACCATTTCTTGCTTGCAGCCCATACTATTTGATGATGTTTTCCTTGCAGATTTGAGGGAAACTAGGTCAGCCTGTAGGTTCTCATATAACCAGGACTTGTATGGGAGACATTCAAGGAGTACTTCAGTATTAGGTACGCTTCCAAAGTCTCTGCGTGACTCACCACCATCCATGGTGGTTGTGTAGTGACAGCAAGTCTGTGTTACACATAGCTAATGCTTCTGAAGACATTGCCTGTAGGTGTCATAAACCACATATCTCTGACAGTTTAGTGTCCTTTCATGTCACTTGTAAATATGTCTTTGGTATGTAAGACCTACTGGCAGAGTAGTGCCACTCGGGAAAGGAAGGTGTTTGTCGTTTTGCTCGATAATGTTCAGCAGCTGCTTGGTTTCTGCTCAGAGTGACCGTATTTCTCCTGTACCGTGTTAGCACTTTAAGTTTGCAAATTACTGTAAAGCTGTTGTGATTTTATAAGGTTGAGGTTCTGTCAGCTGAAAGCAGATTTCTCATAGATACAGAAACTGAACTGTAGTCCCGTCTGTTGTGGTAGATGACCACTAAGTCTTGGAATTTTCAGGCTGGCATTCTTCACAAGGGCTACAGTTCCCCATTAAAATATGTTTAAAGTTCTAATTAAAGAGGTTTAGCATGTGTTGCTTATAATATATTGATTTATGTTTTATAAAGTGAGCATTTAGAAATATTTTTATTATTTTCTGATCTGTTTCGATTATTCTAGTGAGGTGGTTCCAGTATGATCTTTCATGGATGTGTACCAAGATGAGTCCACTAGGAAGAAGTAAATGAAGAAAACCAATATAATACTGAACTAAACTGTAATTGAAAGCCCTGAGTTGTTTAGGTAATACTCTAAAGAGCAGGACTGAGTTATTTGGGTAAATTATTACTGTTGTGTTCTTGTGCAGGCTGCTGCATTGCTGAAGTCCATCTCCTGTTCATCCAGTCTTCCAGACCACGTGCTCCATGCTTTGAGACCAGGAGGACCTTGGTGTTCTGAAATGAAGATGGAGGCGGTGGGAAAAGCAGAAGAACTTGATTCGCAAGTTCCACCAAAGACTTCTGAAAAGCAAGAAACTGTTCCTGATGAAGATGGACCTATAGAACTTGAGACACACACTCAGAAAGACAGTGTGCCCATTGCAGCAGACTCTGCAGTGCTGTCCTCAATGCCTTGCTTACTGATGGAACTAAGGCGAGACTCCTCAGAGTCTCAGCTAGCATCTACGGAGAGTGATAAGCCAATGGGTGGTCGAGTTTATGAGAGTGACTCTTCTAATCATTGCATGCTTTCCCCTTCTTCCAGTGGGCATTTGGCTGACTCAGATACATTGTCTTCCACAGAAGAGAATGAGCCCTGTCAGGCTGAAGCTGTTGTAGAGGGAGATCCTTCTGCGGCGTCTGGGGTTGCAGTTGGGAGGAAATCCAGGCGATCCAGGTCCGAAAGTGAAACTTCAACAATGGCTGCCAAGAAAAACCGACAGTCTATCGATAAGCAGAATGGTCGAGTTACCAAAGTAAAAGGTCATCGAAGCCAAAAGCACAAGGAAAGAATCCGGCTCTTGAGACAGAAACGGGAAGCAGCTGCTCGCAAGAAGTACAACCTGCTGCAGGACAGCAGTACCAGTGATAGTGACCTGACATGTGACTCGAGCACAAGCTCATCAGAGGATGATGAAGAGGTTTCAGGGAGCAGCAAGACAATCACTACAGAGATACCAGGTAGAGGATGTTTTTTAAACTGAACTGTAATGCATCTGCCATTGTTTCTCAGCTGTCATGTTAAGTTAGACAAGTGACACTTGAGAAAAAACAGCAGAACTGCAGCTCTGTGTAAATTTGAAGACTGCAGTATATTAACAAGACATGGGCAAATTATAAAATCTGTTCTGAGGTTTCAGTGCACTTCTGCACTCCAGCAAAGCATAGGAATGGTAAATTGGAGGAAAGACTATCTTTGAATTCTGGAATTTTCAGATTTTTTTCCTTTGCAAGCCTCTATGAACTCCTGTCAGTGCTGTCAAATCCCATTAGATGGTGATAATGTAGTAAATACATTCTTAAGATAAGTGGCCAGCTTTGCTTTAATATATTAAGACCACAGCTCAGCAGCTGTATTAGAAATAACATGGCAAACCTCTTGCTGTGTCACAGTAAGGCCCTGTTCACTATTGCACGTGCCATTGCTTTCAGCTCTACATTTCAGTGCATGACAGACCTACTTAGGCTTACTTTAAATTCTTGCAGATCACAGCTGGTCACCTATTTTAGGAGATAAACATGAATTTGTTTGTGCAGGTACCCGAGCTATTTCCGCCCCAAAATTTTTAACGCTTGAGACAAAGCTGTTACTATTTTCCTTTGACATAGGATCTTTAATGTCTAGAGAAAGTTTTATTTCTGAAACATCCGTTTTAAGATTAGAGGCAGCAAGTTACAAGGGCTTTCTCATGACTTTGTTAGCAAAAGAAACATTAATTCTTTTCTGTCTACTGAGTGTTATTTTATTAGCTCAAGTGCTGTGGACAGGAGCTCATGTGCATTACTCTTGCAGCATATTATACCATAGAACCATCATCATATGCAATCAGAAATAAAAACACATAAAAAGAAACCTTTTGGCTTGCCCATTTTTGCTGGGTTACATGCCTTTTTGCCTCTTGTGCTAGAAGTTTGGGGATTTTTTTGAGATAAATACCAGCTTACATAGGACAAGAGCATTTAAAGGAAAACCTCAATAATTGAGTCTTAAGTTGCTGAACTAACGTTTTCTAGATGAATTATTTAAAATATTTACAGCAGATTTTACAAATAACTGTGTTTTAACTGACTTGTTTATGGTGTATGGCTCTGGCACCATGAGAAGTGACATTTTTCCCACATACTGCTAGGAAGCAGGTTGCACAAAGGAAATTAATGTTTATTATTACAAAGTCTGGCAGAGGCATAGTCCTCCTATAATTATTGTGTAGTTAACTTCTAATAGAGATCTAAATTGGTGACAATAATTTTAGTAGTTAAACTTACAGCTTTCTTAGTTTTGTGCTTATATTTACTATATTTACACTAGCTGGGTAATTAAAGCCTCGTTTAAAGCTTGTCAAACAAGACTTACTTCATCGAGTTTTGGGACAGGTTCTTCCTCAGCCCTCAAAAAACCCAAACCATACACAATAAATCCCTCAGGTTATGTTATTTTTTTAAGTTACAGAAGTACCTTGTGACCTGGAAAGGCACAACATGATATTTTCAAGTCTGCTTAGATTGTTTACTTCTATTGCATGGACCTGAAACCACTCTAGGGTGCTTTTTCAGTGTCACTAAGGTATATCTGTGTTTAGAGTTCTCTGTCTTAACTGTGAGAAGCCTTCAGTGAAAAGGTCCCATTGCACTGCACTAAAGAATTTTATTCAGTGGTGATGACACCAAGGCCCAAGTTCACCTGCAGAGCAAGATGTGGGAGTGCTTGATACTAAACTACATTTAAGACAGTAAAACTTCTGAGCAGTCATTTTGGACTTAGGGGCAATGTGTACCTGCTGCTTTGTGATTTTCTTTTAAATAGAAGCAACTTTGGTTTGTGGGAAACAGTCTCCAAGTACAAGAGAAAAGTATTCTCTGTAGAGATAAGGACAAGGTTGGCCAAAAATGCATCTTGTCCTACTTGTGGGTTAATGAAATGTGGTCTGAACAGATGCAATGGAGCTAGGAGCCTGAGAAGGACTCTCAGGTCTTGGTTGCAGTGGTAGGTTCACGTGCCATCTGCGATCCCTCTTCTTGGAACTGGCAAAGTGCTTACCTTGAATAGTCTTTTTTTTTTTTTTTATTTGACATATTTTATTTGCTTTAGTGCACTTAGCGTTACACTGTGAATATCCTTAAAATTTAGGGAATGAGCATGTAGTTAGAAAATAATACAGGGTATTAAAAAACATTATTAGAAAATCAGGCCATGAATGTCTTCTGAAGACAGTTAAAAGCTAAGCAGGTTATCTTGGGGCTTGAACTTTAATGTCAAGAAACTAGAATGTGCCTGTTGGAGGGAATGAAGCATGAAAAGACTTTTACCTTTACTTTTGGAAAAGGTCTGTATGCATTGATGCAGAGGAGTTGTACAGGTAGGCTGTGTTCCTCTTAGTCTTCCTGTATTTGGACGCTTCAGTTGTAGTTTTGGTTGGTTGTTGTTTCATTACTGATTTTCAAATGTCTGTTGTCTGAATAATCACTTTGCCAACAGAGATGCTCGAAAACTTTTAGTGACAGTTAATGTGGCCTTTCATGCATGGAGGTTATGTCATCATACTCTGGCTCTTAACTTTCTCTCAACTTACATAGTGTTACAGGAGACAGTTGGCTTGTGCGCGGTCTGAAAATTAAAGTGCTGCATTTGAGAACACCGTAATCTTTCCTGTTGTGTAAATGAGCCTCTTCCATTGTAATAGTGCAGTTATTTTTCTCAAATTATCCACATCACTGGCTCTGAAATACGTTTGGCTAAATAAATAAGGTAAGGGAAACGTTTAGTGAGATACATAACAATGCCATGAAGTTGTAAACTGAGGTGTTTTGTAATAGAGTCAATTCTCTCTGCTGAACTCAAATGTGATGTGGGTTAAAATACTGGCAGGCTTGTCTGTCTTCTCAAGAAGGATTAAAGAGTAAAGAATTGACATCTCACTGGTGGTACTTCAAATACTGTGAGCTCAATTGGAGCTATGCACAATGTGTGTTATGTTTTTCTGAATGCATTATGTGGTGTTAATTTACACCCAAAAATACAGGTTCAATCTAAACTTCATGGGTGCTACTGAGAATCTTTTCACTCACCTGTGCAGTCGTAATCTTGGTCTCATTAATGAAGGGAATGCCATGATTTTTGAATTACTGCAGATGAGGAGAAATTTCTTTTAATGATTAAGCCTCTCTGTTGGCATGTAGGACTTTGTCATTCTTAAGGAAACAGCAGATAGTTTTTATGTCATAAGAGGATGATCTTTGAAAAACATCTGTTGAGTATCTTTCTGCAAATCACTCTTATTTGGAAATGGTAGCATAATGAGTTGGAGGAATCATCCACCATTGCTAATGAGAATGAAGTTGTGACATATTTTAACTTGTTACATTGTCAGAGTTCCTGAATTAAATAACCTTGAATTTGATTATTATTTGGATAGTATTTCAAAGATCCCATAAAGAGACAGCATTGGGGTGTTTCTTAGGTGCTGTTTTGCAGGAGGTATTGTCTTGAAAGTAAGATACGATTCTTGGATTCTGACTCCTTTGAGATTGCAAATTACCTTTTATCTTGGCATAACTTGAAAAACTGTAGAGCTATAAGTTTCTATATAGCAAAAGGAACAGTTAGATGAACGCTAGCATTTTTAATGCAATAAAAATACTTTTTTAGGCTTGATTTGCTTTCTAACCGTGAAGGCCACCAGTAAAGACAAGACTTACAAGAACTGCAAGGGAAGCATTTGAAACATTGATTTGCTGCTACTGTAAATTCTAGATATATTATAAATGATGCCTTTTAAAAATAGTATTGCAGGGTGAGATATATTTCAAAGCATAGTTTATTCAGTTTATGAATTAGTTTTGTCAACTTTCATCATGCTAGTTCATTCTTGACTCTGAAAGCTGAGCTAGCAAGAATCACACATCACCATCAACAGTTTTTATTTAAATTGCAGTTTAAAGTTACTCAACATTACTTAAATGTGTCTGATCAGAAAGATTGCCCTGTAGTTACTTGATTTTAGGATTACATCCCTATTGAATAAAGTAAAAAAAAAAAAAAAACAGAATCGTATTGGATGTTCAACTCTAGGAGTACATGAGCAAAAAGGAGTTTGGTGTTTTTTTCAGGAAGGAAAAAGACACAATATTAGAAAAGGAATGACATTTTTGGGGAAAAAAAGCATTTTATTTAATTAGTTTTAGTTAAAATGCAGTTGGAGGATGTAAATTAGTTGCTATAAAGCAATGTATTTTTGAGCAGAGGACCTGAATGCTGGATTTCCAGCCTGCCTAACAGGTAGACAGATGGGAGAGAAGACTTAAAAAGCAAGGGTTTAAAAACAGAATGGTTTTTGCCTCCAACAGGTAGCATTGCTACTGCTTCGAAATAAGGGAATGACCCTGGGCTTTGTTTAGCTGTTACTGATGGAATTATGTATACCTCATTTAAATAGCTGCTAAAAAGAATGTATTATGTAAGTAACACTGCAATTTCATGTGCACAGTGAAATCCCAATAAAGATTTAGTGCCTTATGTTTTTGTTAGTAGATATTTGCTTAGGTTGTGCAGTGATTTTTCTCATTCTTAGGGTATTTGCTATTAGTCTGAAGCTAGAGGATATCCCACAAGTTTCACATTTACATATTAAATTGTCACATTCTGCAAGTGGTGTGTGTAGTTTAATGTGGTGCTTGTCTTGTTTCATAATTAACTTAGGAAACGTGTGCTTGGACAGCGTGCACATATTGTTTATTACTCCTCAAATAGCTACAGAGCCTCTTTTCTTGGGGTTTTATTGCTTCTAGAGGATTCCTGAGTGAACTCCAAACTCAAAAATATAGATACCACTGCCTTTTCTTTACTGATACTTAGAGTAAATAAACGAGAATGGCCTTCTGTCCTTGCTGCTGAAGTTCTTCCTGATGATCCCAAAGCCAGTAATTTCAATCATCTTTCTGATGGATAGAAGGAAGAACAGTTT